TGTGTGTGTGTGTGTGTGTGTGTGTGTGTGTGTGTGTGTGTCGCGGCGTACAATGATTCGATATATTGAACTTTATGTACTTTTGTTATCTGCACGATTGTTCTTTTATTATCTTCTACCTTTTAAATTACAATTAAATTACAGGACATTTAAAAAGCATAACGATATTTTAATGCTAGAATCTGGCAACCAAATATTCTCTTTTGTTTCGTTTTTTTTTCAAAACGTTAAAAAAATCGATAATCTTCGAGTAATAAAAAGTTAAGAACTTTTTCTGAAAAGAAAAGTTTTAGAAAAAAACATGGATGTAAGATTTCTTTTTAATTTTTGATTTACTTTTATTTTTGTTTTCTGTTTAAACGTAAATTGAACTTTAGCACGCAGTATGTAGGACGAAATACATATTTATTTTATCAGAAGCAACGTTAATTCAAATTCCAAACGGCAAAAACATTGCAATTTTGCAATACGCAATAACCATTCGGTAAATAGAAATATTTCTTATCTCATTACACAAGGTAATCGAGAGAAGCACAATAAATTACTCTCTGACAAACTGCATTAATAATTATGCAACGACATTGAGTTCTTATCGTATGGTTTCCATGAATTTCGCGATCTGACGTGACCTTTACAGAAATGACTCGATTTATTTTGATGCTTCGACGAGCAGCATCAAGGCAACGCATAAGGAGAACTAGAGAATTTAAACCTTTTTGACATATAAACTTCGTATCTTGACTTCCAATTAACTTCTTCCTGTCACCACGAGGATATGCACGTTTGACATTCAATGAAATTCGCAAGAGGCAAATTCCTTTCGGTGAACCGCTTGCGATCTTTTTTGTGTCAAACGAGATGAATTGGAGACCTTGATACGATAACTCAACCTTGTCGATTTTCTGTCCTTTCATCAGAAGACTTATATAAAGCATATTCATAAATTATTCAAAAAGTATAAAGCTAAACTTATTGTATTTATATAAACATAATTTATTTTAATAATTGTATAATTAAAAAATAAAATATAATATTTTTAAAGAAAATTTTTTATAAATTTTTATATGAACTATGTAATAAATGTGCTGAAAAGTGATTTAATTTGATTGTTCATCGAGGTGAATTGCTCAATGATAAACTAATTTTTCATTTATTTTCAGAAGCATAAAATGAAAGACTTGTACAATTTTTCAAATATGTACTTCAGTTTTTCTCACAGAAAAAGAAGACATATACGAAACACGATTCAACATTTTTAAACATTTGAAAATTATGCTGAAATACTCTTGAAAGATGTAATGAGGTACAAATCAATTTACAGCATTGAAAATTCGCGTAATCTAAACTAAATGCGAATAAATCGGCGCTATCACATCTTCTCGAACCGGTATTACAGGGAAACTTTTAATGGGATTTAAGCCGATAATAAAGTTACTGCGCACTGATCAGAACTTCCGTCGTCGACTAGATGTGCAAGTTCGATTACAACACGGCCGACGGCCAGAACGAGCGATCGCAAATATGCTAATCCGATATACGCAATTTTCGTATGATCTGTCCTATTTCTCGAGGAACTTGATTGCGTTTCCTACAAGAAAAGAGAGCAGCAGCAATGAGGCTGCTTGAGAATCAATAGCGAGCTAGTCTTCCATGATAAATCAGTTAATATCATCGGAGATGATTAATTATGTTACATAATATACTAATTATTTCATATAATAAATATTCTCTGTTAATGAGACATGAATTAACTATGCGCATGCAGCGGCATTCAATAAAGATATATTGCTCTTGAATGCATGCGTTGCTGTATAATCGATCAAATTAACGTTTAATAAAATTTGATTAAGTCTGAAGTTGAAACTGCACAAAATGCTTGAAGCGAAATTCGAAATTTTCAGGAATCTAAATAATATTTCATTCAGAGAAGTTCATTTTTATTAGAGAAATTAGTAAAAATGCTCTTTGTTAAATAAATTTTTTTTCTTTATTAAATAAATTTTTATCAACACTTTTATTTTTTTTATATTTTTTATGTAAACAGAAATCTTATTTTTTAAATAAAAATCTGATTTAATCGTTCTTTTCAAATAGAGTAATTGACCAATTATTAAAACTTTTATAAAAAAGAATTGAATAATTTATGTGTAACAGTCAAAATTTGTTGGATAAGTATACATAGTAATGTATACTTATATCTATGCATATTACTCGTAATTGAATTATGATATATATATTCGTGGGATTAAAATTAAAAAAAACAATAAATGGAATTAATCACCATTCTATGCGACGTTATTCATAAAGAACAAAAAATAAACAAAAATAAAAAATAAAATGTACAATAATCCGTTTAATAAAATCAATTTAAAATAAAGAGAAGAGAGATTAGACGTATTTGTATTTTACAATACGTTGAATATTTCAAAGAATTTAATTGAATAATTTAACCGGCCCTCGATTCCCAGTACGCTGTGTTTGTTTTCTGCGATATACAGCGTGGCGCTACGTAAACAATGTTGCCACGCTATCACTGTGTATTTGCACGCCGAGATTCCGGTTGATAAGATGCGTGCCGCCGAATAAGTAGTATGCATTCCCAAGTAACACATGAAGCTTTAAAACGTCTGTGATAACGTTGTCTCAGTTTAAATCGCAGCATTTTTGTCTATGACAGTCACTACAAAGTTGTAGCAGCAAAAATGGGACAACATTTTTTGGACTTTGAAGACGATGCTTTGCAGCTATTTAGCTGCGCAATTATTTTGCTGCGGAAAGGTTGTCATAACCATGAAGCTTCAAAATGTCTTCAATAATGTTGTCGCAGCTTACACCGCAGTATTATTTTTGTCTAAGCTTTGGAAACGATATTGCAACCATTCAACTACACAACCATTTTGCTGTAAAAAGATTGTCATAGCCATATATTATAGTGATAATCTGAATAAAATAAATTAATAAGCAGAATGTTCTTCATATATAAATTAATATTCAATGAAAGTTTTTTAATTTTTAATTTTAAAATTACATAAAAATATTTAAAATACAATTAAAAAAATTTTTTTTCAGCTGGTATTGAAACAATCCGGAATCTTTATCTCACTAAAGTTAGATCAAATTTAATGATTAATTAATCATTACACCTTATTACAATTTATAATGTACATATAATTATACTGACGCGGACGCAAATTCATAAATACACTGATTACAGAACTACACAGATTTTTAAGGAATAATTTTAGAGCCATTTAAATGAATCCCATCGTTGATATATGCTTT